TATACTTATTTATTTAATTTATTGGGTTTTTTTATTCAGATGGTCTTATACATGTCAGGTTTGATCACGTATCACAGATACACATTTGTTTTGAAAAGGTACCAGAAATGACTGTTTTCATACATAAGGGATTCCAAAGAGGCCAAATTCCAGCATTCCAGGTATTGCCCATTTTATGTGGTCCCACGTTGCTGCATTATCTCCCAGCCAGTGTCCAGCATACTTTCCTGATCCCGCAAAAGTAGATCTTGAAAGAAGGAAGCTTCGTTTTCCAGGAAACAAAGCGGAAAAAAAAAAAAGTTTGGAAAAGGGAAAAAAAAAAAAAAAAACAAAAAACACAACACGTTGTGGAGATGAGTAGATTTGTATAAGGCAAGTTTCTATTCATTTTCATTTATTCATTCACAATGATAAATAAGCTAAGGACACAGACTCTCTTAAATTTAAGTGGTTGTCTATTAATGAAATTAATTTTTAAATATTCACCTTAAAGAATCTTTCTGTAAGTTTTTGACTGTCAACCTTCATCATATTTAAACTCCAAATAATAACGGTCATGTCTACTTTCAGCTTCCTCTACCCATAGCAGCATTGCTGAAATCCAACACTAGGACTTCAAATTTAGATTCAGAAAATAAAAGAGATTGTGGGAAGACTGATCTCGATCCCCAAATCAGGTTTGCTGGGGAATGAAAATGCTCAATTTCTCTAAATAGAGGCCATATGCCCTACTCTGCCCTTTTCCGTACAGATATTAAGTATTACTCACTGTTGTGTTGAAAGGGTCATAGAGTATCCAAAAAGGCTGTGAACATCATATTGTCGCCCCCACTTCTGCACTGCATCCATACAGACTGTCTTGGAATACAGGAGTCTATCAACAATATCTGCAGGAAAACCATTTGGAAGTGCATTTTAATTGATTTAATGAATTTATTTTAAAATAAATTAAATCAATTTAATTAAGGGAAAAAACAGTATTTCTATGCTTTTTCTTCATGCACATTCATGAAATTTTGGGCCTTTTTTGAGTCTGGCATTTGCATTAACCCCAGTACTCCAAGGCCAAAGTGGTAAGTTCTCACCTATGTCATACAACATTACTACATGTTTCCAGGTTGATGCATCTTTGCTTTAAAACAAAGAATATTTCTGTCTTCAAAATTCCTGTATCTCACAGCAATCAATGTAGAAATAGCAAAATAATTCCCCGACTGCTGCTAAAACATGTGCAAATGCAGTTTTGCTAACAGGATGGGATCTAGTAGCCCCAAGCTACTTCAATTTTTCAATTTAATAAGCTTACATCCAGCTTCAAGATGGATTTTGCATGCAAGCAAGGACTCACCCAAAAACTACACCCTAAATTTCTGAATAATTTGAACATTTATCGTCAACGACCAAATTTCTGACTTGACAAAGAATTTAAATCTTTTAGCCAACAAGACAGTAATTCACAAACTTTTTTTTTTTTGTGCACTCAACAGCTAAAGACAACAGACTTACGGGGCGTGAAAGGAGGATAGTTTAAGTCGTTCTGCTCACAGCCTTTACTTGAGCCTTGAACAAAGTTGGCTACTTCATTCATATCCTGAAAAATCACAAATTGGAATTTTAAATGCCAGCTATAATGTTTTTTTCATAACAGCAATATTTCTTGGGCTTTCAGCCAAATACACCGTTGCAAACCCACTTGACGGCACAAGAACTGTATAAGGAATAACATTCATAAGCTGTCGAATTTCTTGTCCAGCAATCAGGACATTGATTTACGAAGTAGTCAAAGAAAAAAAAAAATAAAAAAAAAGAATATCTTTCTGAATGTCAAAAGGATGATTTTAAGTTGCAATGGTGGTACTCTACCCAAACTGGAGAAATTAAGTACCATAACTCTTCCCCAATCCTGCAATATAAATAAAAGTTATTTTTTCTGGCCTGAGAAAAATTACTTTACTGAGTTAAAACCCCAAATCTTGTAGAGAGTGGTCATCACATCTCTAGAGGGAAAATAATTTCTCCCAAAAGATATTGTTTATTTAAATTAAAAGTTAGCATAGTGATTATGATCCTGGTCATAGTCAGTTCTTGGATAAATTAAATCACATTAAATACATCTTTACTGAAAGAAGCAAGCATCCAATGCATCGGATAAACGCAATTTCTAATAAAATCCCTCTGACACCAGAAAACAAGCTCATTGAATGCTACAGAAAAGATACAAATCCCACATGGATTTCAGGTTATTCTCAGTGAATCCTCCTTCAAATCAATGCAGACTAAAACCTGACTTGCCATGAGCCTATTTTTGCAAAACGTGAAAATTTCAGAAATTCCTTACAATCCAGATCCCATCGTAGGGCACTTGCTCATAAAATATTCTGCATTCCTCCACCCACCATGTGGTGCAGTCAGGGTTGGTGAAGTCTGGGAAGACAGTTCTTCCTGGCCACACCTACAATAAAAAAGGGAAATTATTAATTTAAACTGTTGATGACCTTGCAGAAAAATTAAAATCCTCAGATTTCCTTCAGATTTATGGGAATTGCTCCCCTGGAGAAGCATCTGGGTATAAAAACTCAGGATTATTAGTTTTGCAGGACAGCATTGATACAGTGATCG